TTTTTTTTATTTATTTATTTTTCTTTAAAACTCATTGATTCATATTTTTTAAATCAAGTAATAATGACTGCACTATTTAGGGCTAACTGATGCTGTTCATAAGTTCTCATGATTTTCTTACCATATGTTCAGGCAGGCGAGAGAGCGCATGAACACACTGGAGCGACGCAACTCTCACTTTCTGTCGGAGTGAAGATAAAGTCAAAATCAGACGAGTGTTGTCAGACTGACTAAAATCAAATGCACTGTTTGATTCAGTACCATAGCAGGGCTGGTGGTGAGGGCCAGCAGGCGGGAGAACAGCGCCTCCAGCTGGTTCCTGACGGCCGCTGGTGGCTCCAGCAACACTGGCTGCAGGCAGGACAGAGTGGAGAGCTGGACCGCCTGATCCGCACACGATAGCGCTTCCAACAGCAGCGGCAGCAACTGGCCGGGAACAGCACACAACACTCATTTAACACGACGCCTTTCAAAAAACACATCTGAAATCATTTACTTACACAAATTCAACTCACCGCAGGAAGCTCTGTGAGCTGGACCTGTCTGGGAAGGTTACTGACAATGTGCGACAGTGCCTTCAAATAACAAGACTTCTTCTCTGTGGAACAAAAACAACAGTTTAGATAGCAAGCAGAGCGGTTCAGTCACACCGCGGGTTTAGACAGGAAGTGGTAATCAAGGTACCCTGCTCAGCCGAGTTGAAGCCTTGAACGAGTTTGGTCGAGTTTTCAGCGAAAAAGCGCTGTCGGTACATAATGCGCACGTCGGCGTGGCAATTGCGATTGAGCACATCCAGAGAGTCGCTCATGAGGATGCAGAAACCATCAGCCACCTGAGATCCTAACGCCGGGTCACTCAACAGAGCGAAGAGCTGAAGGACAGAAGTGAGCATTCAAACACGGAACCTCTGAGACATGACTGGAAAGAGAGGAAGAAACAAAGAGACTACCTTGTCGGTCAGGGCTGTTGATAGCGGATGGTACCGTAAGAGCAGGGCTTTAGACACCTGTACAAAAGTGAATAAAAGCCTACATTTAATCTGTTGAGAATACAAAGACTTGCATTAAACAGCTTGATTGATATGGATACTTATAATGAACGTTTTGAAGCATCAAAGTTTTGTCTGCATGGACAAAAATAATTAGAGATTATCAAATTTAACTCCATTTGTGTTTCAAAGACAAACAGCAGTTTTATGGGTTTGGAACGACATGAAAGTGACAAAATTACAATTTTCATTTTTGGGAAAAACAACAACAAATTTTGCTGTTACAACATTTCCCATTTTTGATCAAGTCAAAATACTAAAACAATTAAACTAAAACAAATAAATAAAAAATAATATATACTAATATAAAATATTAAAAATAGACTTTAAAAAAATAAAAATGACAAACAC